ACAATGGAGGGAAATTCACTTAACACTGTTATTCACTGTCTTGCTTAGCAGCAGAAAGTTTGGGCTCAATTGTGGTTGAGGACAACCTATAAACACAAGGAAAGTTTTAGAAGGATATGGATCTGAAAACAATATTCTGAGACCCTGAAACAGGGGTGAAATGCTCCCGGTTCAAACTGGATCGCCCGATCTGGTAGCGATCGCGGTGGGTGGTTCGGAATCTGTAGCAGAAATCCCTGCCCTCCCCCACGCCCAGCTGAGCCACGCAATCATCAGAGGCTTTTTTTTTTTACTTTTAAAAGCATTTTTTCTACAAATGCTTTTAAAAGTAAAAAAAAAAAAAGCCTCTGATGATTGCGTGGCTCAACTGGGATCGTCAGAGCCTTTTAAAAGCATTTTTTCTACAACCTCTTCGGCCGAAAAAGTTGTAGAAAAAATGCTTTTAAAAATAAAGTTGGCCACGCCCACCCAGTCACATTACCCCCCACCAAGCCATGCCCACAGAATCGGTAGTAACAAATTTTACATTTCACCACTGCCCTGAAATATATAAACCATTTATGCAAAAACGAGGGAATTCTTGGCTATAAATGGTTATCTTAGGACCGCATTCCCAGAGACATTTATGGTTCCACTGATCATTACTGGGAAAGGAGAGTATAGAAATAAACCTACCTTCTCCAACCTAGTTCTCCCCAGGTGCAATAGGATTAGAATTCCAAGCCATGACTGAAGAGAACTTCAACACATCTTGAGGGGACCCAGTTTGAGAAGGATAAAAGCAACCAACCTCAGAATCCAGAGGCATAGAGAGGTCTTTTGTAACTAACCTAACAAAGAATCTAAGCTTTCCCAATTTCTGGCAATCCGCAGCCTGGGGCAAGCTTCAGTTTGAGTGATCACACATCCTATTTTAAGCCTCCTGAGCTACCCAGACTCCAGGTTTGATAAGAGTAACATTTTAACTACCCTAGTGCTCTTTTCTCTCACTTTTAAGAAGGCTTTGATTAGATCTGTCAACACTCATTTCCTGCTTCCCAGCCATGAAATCTGAAGTATCAATTAAACAGGATAGTCAAAGTGATGAATATGTATAATTCAAAGGCTCTACTTCTTGTCATCTATAGGTCACCTTTGATGAGTCTTAGTCTCTTAAGCTCTTTTTTTTCCCCTCCTTACCCCTCCTTCCTTTTTTTAAAAAAAAAACAAACCATCAAGCGGAAGAATAATCAGAATAAGACTGTTAACTCCTTTGGTATTTACTGAGCTTTTACTAGGCAGCTGTATACTTAAATTTCTGCAAATATTTGACGTAAAAAAAATAGACGTTATAACACAACGCTTAAGAGTCATTGCTTGCAACAACCCCACCTCCTTTTTATTAAAGGAGGGGTTATTGTGATGTTGCATTGCAACTCTATCTGTTGGACAATCCAGAAGCAAAGCGCATACACATTGTGAAGCATGAGCTAATGGGATAGCTTGGATAGCGTTTTATTGCTCCACCACTCTCTCATACCTTCTCCCCACCCCATCCGCTACTGCATCTTATGAGTTCTCATTGCTTAGCAACCAGATCTCAGCTATTATTATTTTTTCTTCTTTGTGGGCAGAGTAAAATTGCTGGACTGGGATGTAATATCCAATGGTATCCCAACAGGCCTTTTCATAACAGCTTGGCTATCCAAAATCTTCCAACTGCTGAATGTCCCTAAGGAGTGCCAAGAGTCTTGGGATTATAATGGATAAAATAATATCTAATAAAGAAATATATGAACAAGCATTCCTCTGGTGGAGATCAAGTGATGCCATGCTTTGCAGAGAACTATCTTACTCTGAAAGAATAGTCCTCTATTTCAAGGTATCCTACTTTTGAAAGGCTGCCCAATCCAAGCTTAGTTTAAAAACAAACTCTATTAAGAAGGAGAGAACAGAGGATTTAAAGTCAACTATAGTGCACAACACGTAGACAATAGAGCAAGCAGGTTCACACTCAGATTGAACTCAGTCTTTCCCACCATTGGCGAAATTAGTTGTATTTCTCTTTGAATTGTAAGATTTTCTTACTATGTTTTCATTTGCACATATATGGACATGTCCAAATGTACACTATTTCTCTCTCTCTCTCTTCCCCTTTTTTGCCAACATTGTAAAGAACCACCCAAGAGCCATCTGATTTCCTTGTTGCCATTTCTTCCCCTTCCATTCAGTTGTGTCTGGAGTCCCTGCAGTTTTCTTGGCAAGGTTTTTCAGAAGTGGCTTGCCATTTCATCCTTCCTGGGCAATGGTGGAATTCGAATTATTTATTACCGGTTCTGTGGGTGTGGCTTGGCGGGCGTGGCATGGCTTGGTGGGTATGGCAGGGGAAGGATACTGTAAAATCTCCATTCCCATCCCACTCCAGGGGAAGGTTACTGCAAAATCCCCATTTCCTCCCGATCAGCTGGGACTTGGTAGGCAGAGAATAAATGGGGGCAGGGCCAGTCAGAGGTGGTATTTACCGGTTCTCCGAACTATTCAAAATTTCTGCTATCGGTTCTCCAGAACTGGTCAGAACCTACTTAATAACACCTCTGTTCCTAGGGCTGAGAAAAAGTGATGGCCAAGCAGGGCCGGGTTTAGATGAAAAGAGGCCCTAGGCTATTCCACTTATGAGGCCCTTTCACCTATAGTGAAAGTGTAATTTTAATTTTGCTAACAATTTGAATGTAGGGAATGTAGGCCCCTCTTGATCTTGAGGCCCTAGGCTGAAGCCTAGTTAGCCTATAGGAAAATCCGGCCCTGTGGCCAAGGATCATTCAGCTGTCTTTGTGCCTAAAGTGGGACTAGAACTCACCATCTCCCAATTTCTACCCTAATGCCTTAACTGCTACACCAAACAGACTCTTTACTATTTCTAAAATAATTTTAAGAATGTCAATTGTTTATTAATTTGCAATATATTTTGCACTGGTTTGTTAATCTGTATTTTTTTCTTTTTACTAATTGTATTATTCCTTTTTTAAATGTCGATTTGTTCTAAGTGCTCCATTAAAGAAATAGCAGAATATAATGCAATTTAATATAATTAATAATTTAATTGAAATATCTGATTTAATTGAAATACCAATCTCTTGAAATTATCTTTGACAGTTCATTTTATCTTTTTTGCTGAAGAAATGGAAAGAAAATAGCAATACAATATGGTTTAAGTTTCCTAAGTTAATAATAAAAAATTATTCAGTTTGTATATGCAGTTTTGTTTATTTACTGTAAATATAGTGAGCAAAGAAATCAGGTAGAACTTCATCCTTTCATAAAATATGCTATTATGTCATTAGAATAGAAAACTTCCAATAGTCTTGGGAAATAAATTATTACAAAATCCTATTCAAAAATTCTATTAAACTGATAAGTGGATAAGTTTTTTAAGCTATGCAATAGGATTTTTAAAAATGTATTATCTAACCCAGCTTCTTATAAGTAGTACCTTCAGTACAAATTTGGAAGGAGTCACACTGGGAAGCTTGTATTAAAATAATATATTGCTTATAAGAACTGTTTTAATATTAATACCTGAACACTCAACACTGCTGCACAACTAGATTTCCTACACATATGAATGAAATGGAATGAAGTTTTCATCTCAAAATTTTGTGTAATTCTATACACAATTCCAGTGATTCTGGTCATAATAAGAAAATAGTTACTTAGCAACAGAGTCAAACTTATCCCTTTTAATAAAATGAGTTAGCCTTAAAAGGTGCTACAAGACTCCTGGTTTTAGGTATCTCCTTTTGAAACTTGTCCTACTTTATCTACTTTTTACCATTTGTTTTACTTGGATTTTATCATGTTCCATCTCATTTGCTTTAATCATCAGAGATCAATCCATTTTTATATGTCCTATTCCAGGACTTTAGTTTTATGATTAGAATCCTTTTCCAGTTGTCTGCCAGTGGAGTTCTAAACTGGCTTTCATAAAATGCCTACTTATAGTTAGTCCTTGACTTAACAACCATTCCTTCAAGGACTGTTTGAAAGTAGGTCGGTGCTGAAAAAAGTGACTTGCAACCGATTGTCATGCTTATGACTGTCACCGTCAGCCCTATGGCCATATGATCAAATGGGAGCTTGGCAACTGGCATGTATTTACAATGACTACAGCATCCTAGGGTCACATGATCACCATTTGCAACCTTCCCAGCTGGCTTCCAACAAGTGAAGTCAATGAGGGAAGACAGATTTGCTTAACAATGTGACGCTTCATTTAACAACCAAGTGATTCACTTCACCACCATGGCAAAAAGGTCAAAAAATTGAGCATGATTCACTTAACAACAGTTCACTTGGCAATGAAAGTTCTAGTCCCAATTGTGGTTGTAAGTCAAGAACTACCTGTATTCTCCAGGACTATCCTAGACATCTTCCTTTGACTAACATCTAACTTAGTGTACTCCAAATTAGTCAGATCTATAACTCCCGGCTCTGAGTTCTGGAGATTGTACTTCCAGCAGCGGGTCAAAAAAAGCTAATTGTAATTGTAAATCTGTAGCCAGTGGTGGGATTCAGCTGGTTTGGGCCAGTTCGGGCGAACCGGTTGTTAAATTTCTGGCTGGGCCCGCAGCTTCCCACCCCACCCCTTCCAGGAGTCCCCAAGCGGGGACACATGGAGGCCGAAAATGGGGCACCCAGAAGCAGCGATGGGTGGCAATGGCGGCGATCTCTGCAGCCTGGAACAGCTGATAGGCGGTATTCTGGGAGGCCAATCCAACCGCCAATCAGCTGCTTGTGCTAAATCAGGCTGTGCTAAAGCTGACCAGGCTGTTTTCTGTTTGCTTCAAGGAGGTAAATTGCTGGGAGGCAGAGACAGATTTTTTATTTTCTTGTTTTCCACTCCAAAAGCTAGATGCGTCTTATACTTTGGAATGTCTTATAGTTCAAAAAAATACAGTAATCAAAGAAGGAAAAAAAGGTTTGCTCTCCCAGTTATGTCGTAATTAAGAAATACATTATCTTACCTTGTCACAGAAAACTTTGATTTGGCAGAAGGCCCGATGAATGGGCTTATTGCTGCGATTATTGTAACTGTATGTGTCGATCTGAATCATCAAAGGAAGACCCTTGACTCCTTTTTGAGAAGAGAAGTCTGTGCTTAGGCAATTCACAGTGATGAAAATCTGATAGGGTTGAAAAACAGAGGTTTACACAGATACACTTTCCCACAAAGAACGACCTGCAAGCTCTATTTAATATTTAAAGTTCCATTTGGAGCTCCCCTTGAGAAACTTTCTTCCGTATAAACAGACATCAGTGTAAATTGCTTTACTTAACTATTACTTAATTTCAGTTCTTTCAATAAATGAAACTAATCTGGCAAAATGGTTTGTTCGGCTCAGTTAAAATACCTGTTAGACAAGTGCAGTGTTGGAATCAATAAAATTACAGTAGTAGAAGTCTCAGCCACAGAAATCAATATATGAACTGCTTCTCCTCTGTCGTTCACAACAGTTTCTTGAAACTCATTGTTCCCCAAGGGGAACAAAACTGCAAAAATAGTCACCATCATCAACCTGCTGATGGTGCCTGCTGCCCTACAAAATTGTCAATTGTACATGAGGTTTTAAAACCAACTGAATAAACAATATTCATTCCCTCACAGGACTTGAATAGTAATTAGACGTTTCAGGCCAGCTTGAGCTGCTTGGTGACATATTTTATTTATTTTATTTTTTTATTTTATTTTATTTAAATTTGTATACCGCCCTTCTCCTGGTGGAATCAGGGCGGTGCACAGCCAAGTAAAAAATAATAAATAATAAACATAGGTTTTATAATTACAAGATTTGGAATTGTTCAGTGTTGCATTAGAAAATATACATGTATTTCTGTGGATAATTCTCTGTTGTTTTATTAAATGTTGTCTACTAATGCCCCATTAGCACATGAACCTATGTCTAGGTCAGCAGTTTGCAATTTTTCTGTGACACATGGCAAATATACCTTTAGAACAGGGGTGTCAAACTCAAGGCCCATGGGTCAGATCCAGCCTGCGGGGTGCTTACATCTGGCCCACAAGGCTGTCCTGGAAATAGTGAAGGACCAGCCCATGGTGCCTCTGCCAGAAAAAAATGGAGCTCAGGAGGGCCACGCGCAGCCCTCCTGAGTGTCATTTTTGCTGGCAGAGGGTTGCAGGAGGCTGTCATGGCCGAAAACGGAGATCAGGAGCCCGTTTTCACTGGCAGAGCGCTCGGACCACCACAGGCACCCCGACATGAATGATGTCAAGTTGGCCATGCCCATCCCGACCCCCTGAGGTCAAACACAATCCTGATGAGGCCCTCAATGAAATCAAGTTTGACACCCCTGCTTTAGAAAAATACTGGACACAGTTTTGGAAGAACTTTGGTGCTGACCTATAACATGTTCTAAAATTTAATAACAAAACAAATCATTGTATAAGGTTCCTCTTATCAATAATCTTAAAACCAAAAATTCTTATGACAACAGAAAACAGCAGAAGAATCCTTAAAAGTAAAAGATGAATTTTAAAAATTTTAACAAATGCTGCTAAGAGCTCCATGACTTGATATGAGTCCTCAAGCAGATTATTCCAGAATTGTACTGTTGCGAAAAAGACTCTGCTTCTTCTGGTTGATAATCTAATCTTGGGAAATGATGATACTCTGAGAATATTGACTTTCGCTATGACTTCTGTAATGAGTTCCTCAGAGGGAAAAGGTTATATGTTCCTGTAGGATGCATCTTTGCGTGAAAAATGATTTCAGATCTAATCTTGGCATCTTTAGGTAGGACTGAGAAGTAAACAAAGTCATTCGTTAACACAAGCCAGACTAATTCCATATGCTAAGGGAATTTGAGACAAAATATGCTGGTTATATACAATGAAGAACCCATCTTAAAACCATTGTTCATTTAGCCAAGTATTATCTACAATGAATAAGATTGGTTGATAAACTACTCTGAGTTTGAACTCATGACAGAGCACATTGTATAAACCAAGCCACTCACGGTTTACTGAACACATTGTTAAACAAACCATGGCTTAATTCTGGGGACAATTTATAGCCCTAATAAAATATGTGGTCTACAATCCTTTATTTGTGGCTCCCAGGGGCTTCCTCTGGAAAACTAAAAAAGCATTTGAAGGCATGTAATTCATAAAAATTAAGGTAGACTTAACATAATTTAAAAAGCAAATAATTTCCCACCAAATATCTAGAAAATTTTTTGTTCTTAGCCTTAATGCAATGTTGTTTTTTGATTTGCGACTGTAGGTACATACTCCATCAAATAAATCTTAATTTCTAATTATTTTATAGATGTATCAATGTCAATTTTCTTGGCAAAAATACAAAAGTCATTTTCTATTTCCTCCTTCTGAAATATTTTTCAATTTTTCAGACTGGCCAACAGGGCTATTAAAATAGTAATCAAGTATGACCCTTAAATTTTGAGATCAATCATGATTGACTAAATGCTGGAACCTGTTTAAACACTATTCCCATTAGTCTTTCCAGAAATGTTAAACACAGCTCTGGGCTATAAAAAGTTATTCATCACTGGCTTATTGCGATGCATTAGGCAGCTTTCAGTTTTCCATGGAGTTTAATCCTGATACCGTCTATCAGTTCAAGTATTGATAATGCTGAGATAATACAATCAACTCATGCCACCTTTTCCTGGACACTCTCACTGTTGTTGAATTCATTCACAAAAAGAAGACTAAAGGAAAAGGGAGTTTGGTTAATGGACTACAGGGTGAAAAAGCTTTGCACAGAGAATTTAGCAGCAATCATCTGATCACCAGGTAGATAGTACTGCCCAGTAATTTAGGGTGAAGTCAGCTTAGCTTGTTTACTTGACCGAACTAAAAGCAAGGCGGCATTTCTATTCTTGATGGTATCTCAGGACTATGCTTACGAACTACACGGTTGAACTTTAACTGCTATGAAAGTTGCTGGGAAAAACATGACAGATTCAGATTAAGCAATGAGCAGCACTACCCGTCTTAATATAAACTCCTTCAGGCACCTTCGGTACACAGAATTTAGAAAATGTATGAAAGGGGGTGGCACAGGGGTGGGTTCTACTTACCTTTACTACCGGTTCGCAACAAGAGCGCGCACTTATGCTCGCTTTGTGCGCATGCGCTTCTGTGCATGTGCCGATCGTACCTTATGACGTCCAGGTGGGTGGGCAGAGCCTCCCGACACTTTTACTACCAGTTCTCAAGAACTGGACAGAACCAGGAGCAACCCACCACTGGGGGCGCAGTGTTATTCTATTGCCCCCATCCTTGATGTCTTCCACAGCACTATTGTCTGTCTATTGATAACTGTTGATAAGCATCATTATGCATCTCTAACAGTGGATGCAATGCAGAATAATATTCCTTTTGTTAGCAGAAATTTAGTCACTGGATTCTCAAAAAAAAAAAAAAAAAGAACACCTCCAGAAAATATGACATATCATGTTTTTGAAGTTCAGGTTTCCCCCCAGTATTTTCAAAGTATCCTGAGGTGGGGGGAAGGGAGAATAGAGAAAATATGAGTCCAGTTTCCTCCCTTAATTGGACTCAAAAGTTTAAAAATGTAAATTTTATTGCTTTTCTATCGTCAAATCTACTTCAGAGGTAACACCATGTCTGTACATCGCAAAGTGGATTCGTTCTAACAAGTGCCTTGCTGATTCCTGACATTAAAAGACTACAGTGCAAAATTGATTTATACAAGACCTTTGGAGGTTATAAGCTGGGAAGACTGAATTAAAGAAATAAATTCAGTTGCAGTAAATTATATTGACAGAGATGTACAGAAGAAGAGGGATGATGCAATGTATGGTAGACAGATTATCATTCAGAAAGATAGAATATTCCTCTTCTGACACTACATACCATATATCAGGTCTCTTAAACAATCAAGAGAGGCACGTGTGATGATGTGTGCTTGTCATATTAGTATTAATGTCATGTTCTTCCTTATAGCACACAAAAGAAAGTGAAATAGAAAAAAAGTGGGGGGGAATCAATGATTTTTGGGAAGGTTTCATGCTTAGTACACCATCCAATTACCCTCCTTCTGAATCCACACTGGGAAGATTTATATTTAATTATGGAAAGGCAATTTGCAAGCATGTGAAATCAGCTTTACTCAATTCCCTTAGTCTGTTTTTAATTTTTGTTTAGCTTTGTGGTTTGGATGACAGTGCTGCAGTGGCAATTGCTTCTGAAAAATGAACAACCCATCAATTATCTGGAAAATAAATATTATTTCAGCAACACCCTGGTATCATTTGCTTTCATAGGGATCTTTTTTACTCCAGCAACAAGGAGTTCAAGAGAGAAGAGTAGATTTATGGTACCATATGCTATATGGATGCTACGGAACAAGAGAAGTTTGAAGGAAAAGCAATAGAGATCGCAAAAGCAATAGAGATCGCAAAATCTTGCTAAACAAGTACACCAGGATGGAGTAAAGCTTTGTACCTACTGCCTAGAGATCATGAGTAAAGATTGAGTAAAGGAAGAATAAACATGACTCTTGAATTATCATGTATCTTATCACAAATGCTATAATCAATTACAGGTAGCCTTTGATTACAACCATTCATTTAGCGTCCAGTTAAAGTTATAATGGCACTGAAAAAAGCGACTTACAACTGGTCCTCACACTTATAACTGCCACAACATCCCTGAAGTCACATCATCAGATTTTGGGTACTTGGCAACCATTATGTATTTATAACGGTTGTAGAGTTACACATCACACAAATCCCATGGTGATTGCAGGGGTGAATGGTCAGTGAAGACGAGGAGGAGGAGCTGCCTTCTGTGATGGATCCAAGAGCACGCAGGGCAGACAAGAAACAAGAGCAATGGAGATCTGCCAGATTACTTGGGAGAAGGCCCTGCCCGTTTTGATGGCGTGCACCGGAAAACTATTTATCACAGCAAACAAAGAGAGCTGTTGCTGGGAACAACGTCTTTGGTTTCTGGCTGTGGCTGTGTGTGTTTGTTCCTGGTGCTTCCTGCTCAACTTTGGAAACTCTGAACTTCTCTTGTCAATTGAGCTCTTGTGGGTGTACTTCAATTTGGCCTGGTGGACTAAGTTTGTTTGGTGGACGTTTTTGTTGGAGCAACTTTCCATTGTTTTATGGA